GCGGCACATTGACCATCTATATACCACTCTATGTGAAAGACATCATCACATACTGCACCTCTAATGTTCAAAGCGATTAGTGAGTAAATATATAGTGAATAAAGATTTCAAAAGTAAAAAGTGCAATTTGTCTTCAATTCTTCTTATTTACGTCTTCTCTTGAATGCTGCTTACTGCAACATAAAAAAACTGGTTTTTTTCTGTGTTGTTGTTCAAATGCAAATAATAGCTGATAGTCCCCCAAACATTTCCTTCGCTTTACAAGAATTTTTAGCCTCCAATAGATTTCATTGCAGCACCCTATATCGACTAAACTGGATTGAGATCCATATGCTCTCTGCTCAAACATATAATAAGCAATTATACCTAAACAGTAACCATCACGTCACCTTTAGAGGTTTCGGTTGGAAAGCCTGTGATGCTACATCAACTTAGGATTAAAAGAAAAGTTAGCAAATGTTAAAATGATCTGGTGAGGGGCTCTATTGAAAACCTGCATTTTATTAGCTCTATTTAAGCTAAACTGGGCTTCTACGCAGAAAATTGAGTTCATGTGCTGTTTATTAGCCAGTACTTAGATAACTATTGAAAATTTTTATAATCATTACATTTGTAGTTATTCTTCGCTGAAAAAACAATTTATTTCAATTTATGGATCAAAGGACGCGAAAGGGTTGACCTAAGTAGAACGCAAGTACAGATAAGTCGATGCATCCAGGCTTCTTATCTTGTTGTTGACCATCAAAACACCTATTTTGTGCTTTGTGCCAAGGTAGGTCGTTACCTACCTACCTCCTTCTTATGTTGGAACTCTTAACTTTGCAAATCATTTCGAGCATGTTCTGTCACTTTTAAAAAGGCACATCTGTTGTCAACTTCGTAACAAATGGTAATTTTGATAGTGTATTTAAAAGCCATAAAAATGTCAACGACTACAATGAGAGCACCAGAGCCTTACGTTTGTATATTTTTAGAAGGGTTTAAAAGGAATTTGTCCTGCAAAGTTTTTTGCAGTTGCTTGCATGGTTTATCTATCATACGATTGATAAGAGACTCATAAACGAACTTAAGATTTTTTTGAAAGACAGCTGTTTCGTGTTTGCCAGAATTTGACTTCAATTAGTCTTCAATCTACGTATTGTCAAAAAAGGTAAGACCGCAAGAACCATTTCGCGAAAAAAATATGAAGAATGTTCTCATTTTATGAGACTGAAAGTGTTTTTGGTATATTGGGTGCTCTCCAAATTGTGAAAGTAAAGTCTTTTTACAGTTCGACTGCGAGTCCATCGTTTCTTCGAAAAAGTGATAATTTACGAAGGACACGTTCTATATCAATAAGTGCAAATGATGGCGCTACATTTGTTAACTATCCTCT